AGACACTTGTCTTGATTCCAATCCTTTTATCCCCAAGAGTAATTGTTTCCATACTGTAACACAAAAGCAGCTTTTAGCAAGAGAAGAAGTAACACAGAGCTAGATAACAGCCCTATTTCCAGATCTTGATATCTTTTACACACTCATTCACCAAAACTACACCTCAAACACTCTAAATCAGTACATTGATAACTTAACCAGATAATTATCAAGTATAGAAGCATATAAAAAAGTTGATGTGGACGTTAAAGCCACTGGTTATCCATGCAGTGAAAGTTTCTACACTAGATTCAGGTACTTACATATCAAACTTTAGGAAGGATACCAAGAAATAGGTAGTGATGCAACATTTGAGATATCTTACATGCCCGTTGGTATTGAACTTACGTAAAAAGGGAAATGAGAAAAGTTTCAGACCTATCATCATCAGAGTCATCAATATCATTTTCATCATCTGCAGATGTGATGGTTACATCTGGCTTAAGTTGAGCAGATTGAAGCAAAGGAGGCATTACAACACTCATGTATGGGAGGAAATCTTGTCCTAAGCACTTGCAGAGTCTAGCCCAGGCCTACAACATTGTAGATAAAATTTTATTGCAAACAATAAGCATTAGTACAGTAATTTTAGTGCACTTATAAGATAAGGGCATACTTGTAACATGTAACTTATAGTTGGATCATCTGTCTCCAATTGAGATCCTTGCAAAGCCATCAGCACTTCCATGACCTTCAGAGAAACAGTAAACACCAGTCTGTGATTAGAGAATTTGGCAGCAGCATTTTTCTATTAGGTTTTTAGATTGGCCAAAATGGCAGCAGCATGTTCACAGGTTGAAAGACTCAGTTTTTAATCTCCCAACTGATAAGCGGAAAAGAGCTGAAGCATATAACTTGAGCAAAGGAGGGTGCAGATGAGGAAAAGAACGGGTCAATTTCGGAATTTTGACAAAATAAAAATTCCATTGGGGGTATTAAGGTATGAAATGGTTCAAAATAACAAAATATAGATCTGCATGAACAAGCACCTTAAAAAATAACATGAAACCATCATCCATCAAATAGCCATTCATATCCCAGGTCCAATAAAGTAAACGTAGTTTCAAATGTATAATGCCTTACCTGCTTAGCGTCTTCCCTGAATTTCTCTTTCCAACTGCCATTCCAACCAAACTAATACACTCCATCGATTTGGCACGAAGCATGCGATTAGACTTATCAGTGGCATTCACCAAGATAGCTTTCAGGTAAGGCATAACTGCATCATAGTATTTTTGAAAATGCTCCTACACATCCCATTACCATCAAACTTAATCATCCATAAAATATATAAAATAATAATAATAAAAATAATAATTTCATGTATAATATCACATATTATAGTACAATACCTGAGATGAATCAGCAACCGATGCCAAAGCAGTCAAGGCACCCTCTTGCACCATTTGTTTTCCATTCTGCATGAAACGTGAAAAATCAGACACAATTAATAAATACTAGTTCAAAAGCATGTAATTAAGTAAAGTTTTACATCATGAATAGGGTGTTTGTATATACACACACACACACACACATAATCTTGATAAGCATTACCTGCAGAAGTACAAGCAATTTACTCACTACTCCATCCAAATACGGTGTTAAAATATCCGGAGTGCAATTCTCACTGAAATTCAGCACTGCTGAAGCAGCATGTGCCTGCAGATAGCAAATTACAAAAAAGGAAGCAATGAATAGATAATCTTGCACGTTTAATTACATGATCTTGATAATGAGCTGAGTAAAGCACCAAATGATCACTATCCTCCAAATTCAGAAAATAAAGAACCTCATATGGAGGATAGCTTGCAACTATAGATGCCAATGGTAGCTCACAAGTCGCAACAAAAGGCCAACGATTAGTTTTCAAACTGTACTTTTCAAAAAGTCCATACTTCAAAAAAATGTGACAACATCAACCACAAACATGCAGTCAAGCACATATGACTTTTGCGTGGACTCATTCAAACATCCCATTAACCAGAAACAGAAAGTGAACTAAATAAGTAACGGCTCTCCTGAAGTCGAGGACATAAGATGACTAACAACTTAGGACATTATACACACTAGAATGCTCTACAGTACACAACTTGTAAAGAATCCTTAAGATGAGAAAGTGCCAGTCAATATTAGTCTTGTGGTCACCCTCTAGTGCATGACGAAGGTCACCTGGATTGCAGGATACAAATCCATACCATTCAAATAATAAAACTGAATATCAAGTCAATTATTTAGAAACAGGATTGGATGCTACAACCAGGTACTAACCTGAACACGAGGGTTCTGAAAATCATCCATAGCTCCAGCCAATGCTGGGAGCACCCGTTGGTGATACTGAACTTGCAGATCTGGGCCCAAATCAGTAGACAACTGCCCAATTGCGTTTATCGCTGCCCACCTTACACGAGGATGTGGATCTTGAAATGAGTTCAAGACCATTGCTACCACTTGCTCCAAATTTTTAATCATTACCTGCAAATAAAATAAAAATGAAAGGAACAGATTAATGGTCGTCATTAACAACAAGGTAAATGGAAATTCATTTAACTAGAAAGCTGCACAAAAGTACTTTATAGCTGTACTATTCACTTATTTAAGGATATAAAAGTGCCCCCTCCGAAACTGCATAGTAGGAATATACAATAGCTTATGTAAGATGCAAACATCTTACATAAGTGTATTGTATCTGGCCTGAAAGCTTTTCATTCATATTGTGCAAGTGTGAATGTGACTATCAAACCGTACAAACATTGAATAATTTCAAACGAATGTTTCTCATTACATCTCTAACCTGTTATCCATTCGAATTCACACAATAGCACATTCAACACATGTCAAAAACCTAGGCTCTTTTATTACCAAAACTCAACTCTATTACTTCAACAGAAAAGGCATGTTAAGTATTCAAAATGTGGTTAAAGGCGGAACCATGAAAAATTGGACAAGCAACTATCCCAAGCATAATGTCTCTAACTAATGACAATCAGTTAACCTGGATATACAATTTCACAAATAATTGCACAACTATCAAAATAAAAATTGAAACCTTGGCACAACCCTCAGCAATCTGAGCCAGGGCAATCAATGCAGCATGGTGCTTCTGCCACTCAGGGGCAGCCAAATATGCAGGCAATTGCTCAGACGCCACAGGAACAATGGTATTCCCACCCAGGGATATGGCAAGCCTATCCAAACACTCCTGCCCAACACTGTAATTACCAGTCTCACCCGCATCCTCATCTTCACTCTCTGCCGCATGCCATGCCGGTTCGTCCTCAATATCCAGAAGCATTTTCATTAAAATGGAAAATAATCGGCTTATAAACTGCGGCAACTTCCTCATCATGCCAGGAGCACGCTCTCTGGCCTCGGCCAGAGTGATGACGAACTCAATGGCCAAGTGCCTTGTCCCTTCTTCCAAGGAATCGGCCTCAGCAATCTGTAACATTGCCCCAACGACTTCCACAATCTGCCGCCTCAGGAACCTCGGCTCGGTCCCAGCCAACTCAATCAATAATTCAAGAGCGTCCTGAGCGGTGGCCTCGTTCCCGTTGTTCAGAGCCTCCATCAACGTCTTCATCATCGCTGGCAACAGGTCCTGAAACCTATCCCTATCCGCAGAGCTGGTCAAACACTGAATGAAATTGATGACAGCGTTCAAAGCCGCGATCTTCACGTCGGGGCTCGGCGAATTCCCCAGACTATGCAAGAACACGGCGTGCAATTCCTTTATGTGCGGCACCATGGTGTCGCCGATGTACTGCGATAACTGAGCGAATATCAAGAACGCCGCTTCTTGAAGCTTGGGCGAATCGGACGAAACGCAGTGGAACATAAAGGGCAAGAGCTCCGGCCACCCGTTATCCGGCAAAATCCCGGAGGCCAGCTCGGAAATCGTATCGCATAGCTTTTTGGAGATAGATTTGGTGTCCTCCTGCTGAATACACGTGAGCAGAACGGTCTTCAGCGTCGATTGGGTCGTGGGATTCAATCGGGGCCAGAGGTAAGAGTCGTCGCGGGTGAGCTGCTTGCGGAGGAGAATCGCGGACATGGCGCGGGCCTCGGCGGCGGGGGAGAACTGGAGGAGGTGGGCGAGCTTGAGGGAGAGGGAGTCGGGATCGGTCTGCTTGCAGAGGTTGAAGAGGAGCTCGGCCTGGGAGCGCTGCTCGTTGGCGGAAGACATGAGGTGGGAGATTAGGGTCTGGAAAGGGGCCGGGTCGGGGCCGAGAATGGTCGCCAGTTGGGCTTGCTGTAAGTGAGTCGACTCGGCCATCGGAACCAGGTGCAGTTGTTTAGGGTTCTTGCCTGCTCTGCGCTGGGTGTGGATTGGAGTAAGTGGTGAACCCGCGAAGAGAAGATGCCCTTTCTCTCACTTTCTCTCTCTAGACTTTTGAATCAAATCAAAAGTTGGGATATTTGGGGAGTTTAGGGGTGCGGGGGATTAAAGTAGGAGCGGGAGCAGAGGAGTGGGGCTCCTAAATAAAGGAAGAAATGCAAGGAATTATCCAATGGATGATTAGCTGGGCGTGGGTCGGTTATCAATCATGATTTATGACTATAATTTTCCCACCAAAATTTATTTTTGGAGGGAAGGGAGAAGGGACTCATTTTTTTTTTGTTTAATATGGTATAAAATTATAATTTGAAAATTTTAAGTTTTAACGATAAAGACAAAATAAAAGGTAAAGTGAATAGTATAAAGATTGATTTTTTAATGTAAAAATATGATTTTTCGTTAAAATAAACAGTACCGGATAGCTTTTCGTTAAAGTTCTTTAAAATCATATCTTGGAATTTTATTAATTACCAAAAAAATATATAATTTCTGTGGAAAATAGGTGGGCCAACCAGTTTATAAAGCAAAGCCCAACTTTTTCATAAAGTCCCTTTGATTGGCCGTCTTCCTAATTCTGAATTTTTAATTGTTTTCCCATTTTTCAACAAAGCAAAACAATATTTTGAGTTAAAAAGGAAAGGATTTCTAAACATTTATTTTCTCCTCAATAATAGGTCCATAAACGAAAATGAAAAACCGAAACGGGGTTTGAAATTTTTAAATTTCGGAGCGAAATTGTAGAGAGGGGAAATGGTAGGGTTTAGTATTTAAACCTTCCCTTCTAGTTTCTTTCTACTCCCAGTTTAATTGCCTCCACCTCCACCAGTCCACCTCCGCAGACCAACCACCAGCATAAAATCAAGGAATTGGTTTCTCAAGGTAATTCCTAAACCCTAATTTCATTTAATTTCGTGCTATTCCGTCATCGCAATTGCTTGATCTCTGACATTAGAATTGTGTTCTGGAATGGAGATGGCAAGGAGCCGGCGGACATTGAGTCCCTCCTGCAGGAACGATTCAAGGCTAATGAACCTACCCGCCGATATCCTTGACGACATCCATTTAGGCTAGCTAGTTAGTTATGCGGTTATGAAAAGATGCAAAATTGCAAATGCTTTCATCCATTCAATATTGAAAAATGGGAAATCTTTTAAATAAGAGTCACTCTACTACTTAACAATTTAACGTCAATTTTTATATCAATATTATAAAATATTGTATAAAAAATATAAGATGACAGAAAAGAATTGATGTGTTTATTTTTAAAATAGCTTTTGTTGTACTTTAAGAAAAACAAAAGTTGGTTGCTGAACAATTAGTAGGAGTTCCTGCGAAAAGCCAATGTAATTGCTCTTGGTTTGACACTTTATTCCTTTTTTTTTTTTTTTCCGGCAGAATTGTTCATTTTGAAAAGTATCCTTCTAACACAATGCCCTCTCTTACGAGTCTCCTTCATTCCTTATTTTGTAGAAAATTACTCATTCATTAATACAAGGGGTATTCTAGGCCAATAAATTTTTATCAAACAGAATTTAGTGTTTTCTCTTTAAATTGAAGCAGCTTTTTTATGGAAAAATGTAATACCAAACAGAGCCTAAGTATGCGACTTTTATGGTTCAAGCAAACATCGGTTTTGGAGTTTACGGATAAATTGTCTCCATTTAGTATTAGTCTATTTCTAAAAACAATGTATAAATCTATCGCGTGACACATTAAGATTACTATGTAAAGCACAATAAATATTTGACGTACATGAGAGATGGCACTTATTATCCGATTTCTTGCGTCTCATTCTTCTCATATGTACCATAACTTATGTGTACAAGTTGAAATGATGTTTCCGATTTTTAAAAGTAAAATTTTCACATGAGAATTCAAGAATTTCAAATTCGAATATTTTTTGAAAAATTAAAATGCAAACAAGAATTATGATAGTTCTAATCCAAATTTTTCTGAAGTATTCCAAACTCAAGGCTGTTTGTATCATGAAAACAAATTGTGTCGAACTAAGATTTGTTCAAACTCAAAATGTTGAGAAACAAGCTCTGCGAATTTACAGACCCGCTCGTTGACTACTTTTTTTTCTTTCAAATTTTAAACTATACTTAAACAGAGGAAAATGTGGGGGAGATGAGGAAGCTCAATCCAGCACAACACAACACAAGAGCATCTACCACTGTAAAAAGCATGGCCAAATTTATTGCCTTTTGCGATCAAAATTGCCAACACAATGAAAGAATCAACCTCTCAACCTCTAGTCAACAGATTCACGCTATAAAATGTAGGCATAGAATACATTAAAACACAAGGAGACCAGAAATGCAACAAGAATTTGTAGACCAACAACACTCCCGAACCTCAGGCGTGCGCCCACAAAAACAACCCTCACCAACAACAATCACCTACACTTCTTTTCTCTTAAGACTCAAAATTGCACTAATAATTAACACCTGCATGTACACATCTTACCAAAAGGAGTATACGATCAAATCGCAATGATGACTTCCACGCTTTGCAAAACCAACCTACGGGAACCATCTTAAGGAGAAGAATTGGTGACATAATTACCACACAAGACAGGATCCGTGTATCCCAAAGCAGAAATATGCACAATCACTTATGAGGAGAGGATAGATTGCAGTGCAAGCTGTTGCTGAGGTTGCAAGGAGGACCACGTTGAGGCCAATGTAGCTGGCGGCAAAGTCTGCTGAAGCTGCCTCAACAGATTAATCATTCTGCTTGCAGTTTGTTCCGTTGCTAAATCCTTGCCCGCGCATAGAACCTACGAGAGAAAAATCATACACTCCAAAGTAAATATTCTCACTCTTGAATATGTATTACATACAAAATCAGCAAGAGACAATATCATTGTGAAAAAAAGTTTACAGCTATCAGCAAGGCCAGTAAAACAAAGCAAATTAGGCAAATAAATTTTGGTAAACTTGTACTTTATCACATAAGTTAATCAATCCCCATATCACAACTGATGTGCCTATAATTTCTTAACGCCAATAGCAATCATTGAAACACACATCAAAATAAATAAATGAAACAGAACAATGAGATATGCGCGTTACTGAGGAAAAGAGAATATCAAATATCATGATTTTCTTAGTGTGCAAAATACTTGGCATAGGAGTGCTAAATCATTTTATAGATCACAAACCTCAGCAAACACGGCAACAATTTTGGGAAGACACTGATTGTTGAGACCCAAAAGTTCTCTGTCAGACCTGCAGATGGATTACAAAGGTGCACCTCTAAATTTCACCGGTAATGTTGTTCTAAACTTCAAATGCATGAAAAGGCAACAAGTAATAGGCTTACGCACAAAGTAAAAGACAGCTGAAGCTCTACCTCTCAACCATAGAACAAAGTTGGTCATGGACAACTTTGGCTTCAATCAAGTCACCTTTAATTGGTAAACAGTTCAACCATGCCGGAATGACCTGCCAAATGACAGAAAGTTGACAGACCATAATGCGAAGAAATAAAATATTTGAAAGATAAATTTCAATGACTCTTGAAATAAAAGTTAGGACAAAACAGTAGTGTAATAAAAAAGTTTTCTGAAAACATCGTATAGAGCACACTGCATATAGTGACAACAAAACAAATGAATTTCAGATGTCACAACATAAATAAATAAAGTTTAGTACCTGAGCTGCATCAATACTGTCACGATGAAATTGACATATTTTTCCTAAAGCAGAAACAGCATTGTCATATGCCATCACATTTTCAGCTTGCAGAGCATTAGGATGCTGAATCACAGCATTTAGCCTCGAAAGAGCCTCTGGATAAAGCCATCAGAAAGTGTTACAATAAGCAATCAGAAATATTCCAACTCTGTAAGAAATACAAGCAGACTTACCGCCGACAAGGGGTTTAATTACTATTCCGCCAAACTCTGAACAGACACCAAGTCCATATAGAGCTGCCTGAAAAGGGAAAACAAAACCAAAAAGAATCACATAACACTTACGGGAAAAAAGCACCCTTATACATTTTAAAATAAATTGCTGAGATCAGACCTGTCGAACATCAGGGTTATCATCATTGCAGGCCTCCAATAAAAAAGGAAGAAATGTGTCATAATATCTGACCCAACAACATCAGAACAAAAGATAAGTTCATAATAATATGAATTACTTCCACCCAAACATTTCTAATAGAACAAACTTACTTTAAAGCTGCTTCACGGCACTGCTCCGCAACATCATCAAAGATGCATATAGCGATCCTTCTCTCTTCAGGTGTTTTATCCTTGGCCTGTTGATTTGGATGCATTATTTAAAAAACAAAGAAACTAACTCGAAATCAAAGATTGACAAAACAGAACATAAGATTTTACAAATGAACATTCTGGTTCCTCAAAATGACAATCAGAGGCTTCCTTGAGACGAAACTTACCCACATTGGTGTTAGATATGATGTTAGCTCGTCAAAGAAAGGTAAGAAAGAGACTTTAAATGTTTTAATCAGAGTTCCTAAGATTTCTCCCACCTGGAATTAAAAAAGGTTGTTCAATTAAATAATGAAAACATCAGCAATATCATTGATGGGCTACTTAAAGATTGTATTTGAAAAAACTTACTTGATCAAAAACTTCTTCCTCTTGTTCATTTTCCTCTTTAATTAGCTCTTTTTCCTCATCGTCAAAGTCTTCTGCTTTGGTCCTTTCTGCTCTTTCTCTTTTTCTACTTGAACTGGCAGTGATCACCTGCTTTATCTCCTCCACAATGGATCTGACCTGGCCTTCATCTAAAAGTGGTCCAGCTATCTGAAACAAAAGATGCAAAGAATGCATGAATGGTGTCATATTCAAGCAATGATAAAGATGGAAATTCCAAAATGAAGTTATTGAATTTTGAACTAAAAAGTATGAATAAACTCAAATAAAACATTTTTCTAAGACAGTAGGGTAACAACTATATAACCATATTACGGTGCATTAACTGTCTTCAAGTCAAAGTTTAATATAAAAAAAATATAATAACATACTAGTCTTATTATAGTTACTGAAGTTTTTTTTTTTCTTTTGCAAGAAGTTAAAATTAAACAAAAGTGGAAAAACAGGGTAACTCGAGTATCCAGTATTGCAATCAGGATACATAGACCACTGGTGCCCCGCAAGATCCAAGCCAACATTTTTCCCTCGTTTCCCACAACTGCGGGAATTCACTGGTTTCATCCCGGATCTTCCGAGTATCAGGTACCTCTCCGAGAGACCAGTAAAGCTCACCCGATAGGGTGACCCTTGCTGGAACAGTACCAAAGCATCAGCTCTAGCTTACCAACCATCCAATGGGAGAGACACCGCACACTCTAAGGAGGCAGGCTCGATCCCAGGTCAGAAGCGTAAATCAGTTTGGTGCACTGTGCAAGGTGCCCAACCCGGGTTTAGCTATTCCATCACCACAGAGCTAAACTCGTGCAGAATAAGTAACAAAAGTTAAACCAGGCCTCAAAGGAAATTTCATAAATTTCTTTAAAATGTGGCATACCTGTAAACATTCATTCAATGCATCCAAAATATTTGCACAGATTTCTGTATCAGGTTCCTGCACACAAATTGCACTCTCATTTCATACTTCAGAGAAACATCATATCATTACACCCTGATCGAGGAACCTTAAATGACAAACAATAAACAACCTTGTGTAATGCTTCCACCAGAGCTGGAACAATGTAGTCAGACAATTGTTTTATATAGGTTTCATTACGACCTTGAGCTTGCCCTTTCTCTATGGCTAATTTTGCAGAAAGCAGCAGCTCCGGCATTGCTAGAGAAAGAAAATAGATATTTCTTTATCAAACCTCCAACTAAATGTTCATCAGAAGGAGAAAACCCAAATAAAGTATACCTGAAACAGCTGCCTTCCTAACTTCATCATGAAAATAAAATTTAAGAAGTGGAACCAAAGTTGGGGCAACCTGCACAAATATGACATTTTTAAGTATCATTCATAGGAAGCCGGTAAGAAAAATAATTATGATACACCATGAAAGACCTGATCAATCCAAGGAAAGAATCCTTCTTTCAACTCGTCAGCATAGCAACAAAGCATATTGCAAGCGGTAGCTTTTTCCTCTAGGACACTAGTCTTGATTCCAATCCTCTTATCCCCAAGAGTAATTGTTTCAATACTGTAATGGAAAAGCAACATTTAGAGAGACAGCTACTAAAGAGCAGCATAACAACACTACTGCAACATGTATTTATCTTCTGCATTCAATTACTCTAACTACACCTTGCAAACTTTAAATTGCTAAATTGGTACATTACACAAATAATCATCCAAAGGTTCAAGAAGAGAAACATCATATATGGATGTCAAAGCCATTTTGCTTATCCATTTTGCGGCATGTAGATAATGATGTAAATGTGGTAAAAGTGATATGAACCAACAATAAATCCAGATGCATTTATAACAAACCTTTAGGAAGGATAGCAAGAAATGGCTAATAGTATCACATTCACATACATTATACATGGCTGTTGGTATTGAACTTACATAAAAAAGAATGAAAAATATTCTAACCTTTCATCATCAGAGTCATCAATATCACTATTGTCATCTGCAGATGTAATGGTTACATCTGGCTTAAGTTGAGCAGACTGAAGCAAAGGAGGCATTACAACACTCATGTAGGGGAGGAAATCTTGTCCTAAGCACTTGCAGAGTCTTGCCCATGCCTACACCATTGTAGATCAATTTTTATTGAGAATACTACGTTTGAAGTATAGTAATGTTTGTGCAATTTAAGAAATAAGAACATACCTGTAGCATGTAACTTGTAGTTGGATCATCTGCCTCCATTCCAGATCCTTGTAAAGCCATCAGCACTTCCATGACCTTCAAAGAATAAGGGTATGATCAATCTGTATCTATATATAACTAGCTAACTTAAAAGTTCAAACACAAAAAACAAGAAATTGGCAGCATATTCCAAACAGGTTTCAAATGGCAGCAAAATTTTAACAGGTTGAAGATTCAATTTATCATTCCCATACAAGAAACAGAAAGAGCTTAAACATATAATTTGAAAACTGTAGAGTGAAAAGGGAAAAGTTACAATTCCAATGAAATCAAATTTCTATTGCGACGTGAGGGGGTTAGGGGAAATGAATTAAGAAACCAAAGCTTCAAAGCGTCCATACTTTTCCACCCATTCCATAACCAGGTGGTATGCAAGATAATTATTTCAATACAAACTCCAAAACGAGGAGGCTCTGATACAGTGAAAATGGATACAAGATAGACTGTCTTACCTGCTTCGCATCATCCCTAAACTTATCCTTTCCAACAGCCATTCCAACCAAGCTAATGCACTCCATCGATTTCGCACGAAGCATGCGGTTAGACTTATCAGTTGCATTCACCAAGATAGCTTTCAGGTAAGGCATAACTGCATCATAGTATTTTTGGAAATGCTCCTACAAATCCCATTACCATCAAACTTAATCATACATAAAAAAAATTTAAAAAATAAATAAAAAATATATATATATTAAACAAGAATAACACATTATATAGAAAAAATACCTGAGATGAATCGGCAACAGATGCTAAAGCAGTAAGGGCTCCCTCTTGCACCATTTGTTTGCCATTCTGCATGAGACATGATATTTCAAAGAACGTAAACTAATACTAGTTCAACAAGATTATTATTATGCAAGTGTTTTTATTAGATGAATATGTTATTTTCTTAAGAAGCACATACCTGCAGAAGTACAAGCAATTTGCTCACTACTCCATCCAAATAAGGTGTCAAAATATCCGGAGTACAATTCTCACTGAAGTTGAGCAATGCTGAAGCAGCATGTGCCTGCAGATATCAAATTACAAAGAGGCACGCTAATGAATAGATAATCTAGCACATGCAATAATACGGTCCAGATAATGAGCTAATAAAATGGGCATGTCATATTATATCAAAAGCAATCACCCTATATTACAAATTCAGGATATAAAGCAACCCAAGCTCACAAAACTAAAGCACATGACACATTGTTTCCTACTGTACGTTGCAAGAAATAGTGCTCACGAATGAAAGCCTAATTGTTTTTTCACTTCAACATAATAAGACTGCATTAATACAAGTCTTTTTTTTTTTTTTTTTTTTTTTTTTGTCAAATCATTAATACAAGTTTACATCCCAGTAAGTAAGATGTAGATTCTCGCATCCCAAAAAATAAAAGATTAACAGGACAGAAAGCAATGATTCTAAAAGAATGACACTTTCCATAAGTAGATGTCAGGTAAGAAACACTATCTAATTAGATTATTGATTTAAGCAACTTTATACACACCATAATGCTCTACAGTGCACAGCTTGTAAAGAATCGTTAAGAAGAGAAACTGTCTGTCAGTATTTGTCTTATGGTGACAAGGTCAACATGAACCATACCATTTTTGGTAAAGAGTGTTAGTTATGGTAGGTTAAGGATGACACTAGCATGGAAAAAACCAAATCCTTCACCAATTCAATTAATCAGAAAGAGAACCAGAAAACACAATCAGCAACTAACCTGAACACGGGGATTCTGAAAATCATCCATAGCTGCAGCCAATGCCGGGAGCACCCTTTGGTGATATTGAACTTGCAGATCTGGACCCAAATCTGTAGACAACTGCCCAATTGCATTAATCGCTGCCCACCTTACACGAGGGTGTGGATCTTGAAATGAGTTCAAGACCATTGCTACCACTTGCTCCAAATTTTTAATCATTACCTGAAACACCAAAACCAAAATATTAACAAAAAGGTAGATGAAAGTTGATTTTAACTGGAAGAAGCAGCATGCTGCACAAAATTTTATCTGCCGCTGTACTTTTCCCATAGTTGATGACGTAGACGTGTGTGTATGTGTGCAAACAATTTACCCTACACTTGAATTGTATCCGGAATTAAAACTTTCATTCATGTGTGTCAAGTGTGAATGAAACAATAACCATTGACAATCAAGGTGTATATTTCCCAGATTCTATCATTTCAACAGAAAAACATCTAAAGTGGTTGAACAACTAATCCTATTGTAGTGTAACTAACCAACAACATTTAGTTAACCGGGAAATAGTATTCATGAATAACAATATGATAACAATCGATACCTTGCCACAACCCTCTGCAATTTGAGCGAGAGCAATCAAAGCAGCTTGGTGCTTCTGCCACTCATGGGCAGCCAAATAAGTGGGCAACTGCTCAGACGCCACGGGAACAATGGTATTCCCACCCAGAGATATGGCAAGCCTATCTAAACACTCCTGCCCAACACTGTAATTACCACTCTCACCCGCATCCTCATCTTCACTCTCAGCTGTATGCCATGAGGCTTCGTCCTCAATATCCAGAAGCATCCTCATCAAAATGGCAAACAATCGGCTTATGAACTGCGGCAACTTTCTCATCATCCCTGGAGCACGTTCCCTGGCCTCAGCAAGGGTGATTACAAACTCAATTGCCAAGTGCCGGGTTGCTTCTTCCAAGGTGTCCGCCTCGGCAATTTGTAGCATTGCCCCAACAACCTCCACAATCTGCCGCCTGAGGAACCTCGGCTCAGTCCCTGCCAATTCAATCAACAATTCAAGAGCGTCCTGTGCTGTGGCCTCGTTCCCGTTGTTCAAAGACTCCATCAGCGTCTTCATCATCGCCGGCAACAGGTCCTGAAACCTGTCCCTATCGCCAGAGCTTGTCAAACACTGAATGAAATTAATGACGGCGTTCAAAGCTGCGATTTTAACGTCAGGGCTCGGCGAGTTCCCCAGGCTGTGCAAGAACACGGCGTGCAACTCCTTTATGTGCGGCACCATGGTGTCGCCGATATACTGCGATAACTGAGCAAATATCAAAAACGCCGATTCTTGAAGCTTGGGCGAATCGGACGAGACGCATTGGAACATGAACGGCAGGAGCTCCGGCCACCCGTTATCGGGCAGGATTCCGGAGGCGAGCTCGGAAATTGTATCGCAGAGCTTCTTGGAGATGGATTTGTTATCCACCTGCTGAATACAGGTCAGGAGAATCGTCTTCAGCGAGGATTGGGTAGTCGGATTCAATCGGGGCCAGAGGTAGGAGTCGTCGCGAGTGAGCTGCTTGCGGAGGAGAATGGCGGACATTGCTCGGGCCTCGGCGGCGGGAGAGAACTGGAGTAGGTGAGCGAGTTTGAGGCAGAGGGAGTCGGGATCGGTCTGCTTGCACAGGTTGAAGAGGAGCTCGGCCTGGGAGCGCTGCTCATTGGCGGAGGACATGAGGTGGGCGATTAAAGTTTGGAAAGGGGCGGGGTCGGGACCGAGAATCGTCCCCAGTTGGGCTTGCTGTAGCTGAGTCGACTCGGCCATTGCTGCAGCGAAGTCGAGAGTTGCAGGTAGGGTTTTTGAGACTTTGGGTGTGGATGACGAGGAAGGTGGCGGGCTATCTCTCTCCTCACTCTCTCTCACTTAACTTTTTCGAATTTAGGGTTTTTTGGGTGTCGACTGCGGCGACAGGGTACGGTGCGTTTAGAGTGGGAGTGGGAGTAGGAAAGTGGGGCTCCCTCGTTGGCAAAAGACCGCGTTCTTGTACATTATTCTTTTAATTGAAATCATTAAAGAATGCGTTTATCAAAATTATTCTTGATCGTTTGTTAAATTCAAGTTTTGAATATCCTCATAACAATTAAAGTGTAAAAAAAATTAATTTAACATAATGTATTTTTATATTACTAAATATTATCAATTTATGTTATATTTAATATTGTTAATTTAACATAAATGCTTATGAATATTATTGTCACATCCCGGGCCCGCTCCACCACCGTAGCACGATATTGTCCGCTTTGGGCTTACCATTCCCTCACGGTTTTGTTTTTGGGAACTCACGAGCAACTTCTCAGTGGGTCACCCATCATGGGGTTGCTCTAGCCCCCTTCTCGCTTAACTTCGAAGTTCTTACGGAACCCGAAGCCAGTGAGCTCCCAAAAGGCCTCGTGCTAGGTAGGGATGAGAATATACATATAAGGATCACTCCCCTGGGCGATGTGGGATGTCACAATTATTCATTTCCATTTTCTCATAACAATTCAAGTGACAAAAATTAATTAATTTGACTAAATATTTTATTAATTTAACATAAATCGTAGAAATTTATCTAAATACTTAAATTAGAATTTTTAAATAAATAAACTTGTGTATTATACAATTTAAAATTTAAGGAATTTAGTGATAGAAACTTGCATTATGGAAGAATTTTGTTGTCGATCATTCTTTATGTACTTAACCAGCTCAAATAAAATACCTACAAAATTAAATTGTAAATAAAAATTAAACATAAGAGAAGAAAATAAAAATACTAGAACCAAGAAAAACTTACTATGGAGAAGAAGGAATTAATGAAATTGGAAGAACAAATAAGAAATATGCGAGATAAGAAGAAGAAAACACTGGGGATGGTTTATAAATTGGAAGAAATAAGAAAGATGTGAGTGAGGAAGAAAAAAACACGGGGAGGGTAGATAAAGGCCACCAATCTATCTCCTACAACCGACACTGGATTTCAAAATATTTTAAAAATAATTAAAACCTATGTCGGCTACAACCGACATCGGCTTTGAAAATATTTAAAAACTATCATTAGTGTCGAGCAGAAACAACACCGGTCTTTTTTTAACCGACCCTAACTTTATCTCGGTTACAATTGACACTAGGTTTCAAAATATTTAATAAAAACTAAAACGTATGTCAACTACAACTGACATTGGCTTTGAAAATATTTAAAAACTAACATTAGTGTCGGGAAGATGCGACACCAGTCTTCTTTTAACTGACATTAATGTTATGTCGGTTGTAAGTGACACGATTTTTTTTTATGCGACATCAGTATTAAAAAATATTAAAATCTATGTCAGTTATAAGCGACATTAATAGTTTATGTCAGTTATAACAGATAGTAATTTCGACAACATATTAAGTAGGTGTCAGAATGTCTTATCCGCCACTACATTATATAAAACCGACACCAACCACCGACAAAATAAGGCCCTTTTGTAGTAGTGCATGTAATCAAAGTATAATTTAAAAGAATGCATCCAAATTAAAGTGTAGTCAATTGGGAATTCGAAATGCTTTCAATAAAGTACAAACAAATTTATAGATATTCAAAATGTTATAGATTTTGAAGAACTTCATTAAGTTAAAAAAAAAAAATTAGAATTTGAGAGTGAATTTTATGCATCACCTATAAAAAAAGAAAAAGAAAAGATAATGATATGGAGACTAAAATTTTAAATTAAATGATGTGCCACAAATAGAAAATAAGTACGTTAATTAACACTAAAATAATAATTCAATCATTACCTCGATAAAAAAAATCTCATGTCCACCTTAGGATTTTCTTTTCAAGCTTCTTTTTCTGTTCAACACTCTAATCTAACCTTACTTCACCTCGCTTGCGGGGTCTGCCGGCACAATAAGAGAATGAGGGAGCTAATCTGCTTGCTTATTTTCTACTTTGTATATACTGATATACGTTCCTTTCTCCTTGGCCTTTAGGACTTGGAGTTGATCGGTCAAAACAGCTGCAAGTTAAGTACGGATAAAAACAGAGGTTGTCTATTAAGTATCGAAGTGGTCACATGGTGCCTCTGAAGTGTTACAGTCATGGAGCCGTCGGGAAATTTTACAGATCCTATGTGCAGAAATGGGGGAAAGAAAAGAAATATACTAGTTTGATGGCAACAAGGACCCGGGCCTTTGGTTGGTTTGTAGCACAGAGCCCTCGTTTGGGGGTAATTCATGTGGCATGTCGTGCCACCTTGGGTGTGTTTTGAAGCGTGAAAGTTTTGGTGTTGGAGACGAGAGAGGACGTAGGGGACTTGATGGAGCTTTTATTATCCATCTTCTGGTATTGGAAATGATCTGTCTCCCTCTGCTTGGTCCTTTCATTGCAACGAATCACCTAAACAACAAATGGTGGGAAAGACTATTTGATTGAAATCAAATTGAATTGGGAATCAAATTAGAAAGGGAAAGACATCCTTGATTGGTTTATATTTTCATATCAACACACACACACACATATACCGAAATGGTATCTTTGGGAAAGGCACGTAAACCTTTGCATATGTTACTTTGTTTTTTGTCATTTTTATGTTTCGTTTGTGAAGTTCATGGAAGTTTGTCATTTCAGGTTTCGTGGGTGAAGTTCCGGTTTTTCTTGCAAAGCCTCAAACTTACATGAATTTGAGTGGTGAATCTGTGACTGATATACTTTCTTTTAACGTCTGATGGAACTATGTTATTGTACTTCTATTTGCAAAGGTTATTCATTTATCTTGCCTTGCTATTTATGTTTATTACTTCCACTGCGATTTGAATGAATATACGTACCGAAATGGTATTTGTTCTGTGCATTTCATTCCTTCTAGCACACTTCCAATCCCATTTACTATTCCTGCGTGATTTTTACTTCGTCACTTTTGTATGTTAGAGGCTTAGAGCTATTATTTAATGCTACTGGTTATGTAAGTAATGTTAGTAAAAGAGAGAGTGCATGGTTTAACTTGTATTTCTCTTTGTTAAACTACAGACAGGACCTCTTGCTGCTTGTTTTTAGCTCTCTCTCAATCGTGTGCTTCTGGTACTTTCTTTTTCTGGTTTTAAGTTTTTCTGTACGTAGAGCATCTGTGCATATCTTTATAGTATTTATTTATTTATTTATCCTTAACTGTAGTTTCATGATGACATGACCAAGTGAGGTACTTCGTCTTCACCCAAATGGAGGTCACCTATGCCAGAATGGGAATGATCAAATTTTTTGCTTTCGAGTTTTAAGCACATATGCTTCTATATGATTAAGAAATGGTGAAAAATGTCCTACCAAAAATGTTAGAACCTTTCTAGACACTGGTGTTTACATTGGTTATATATATAATTAAGAAGAAGAATCGTCGGTGAACTAATTATATAGGAGCTCCATGTTAGGATTGTTTTTTTTGTTATTACTAGACCATCACTACTTCTACACTGAGGAGTAAAGACCATGATTATGCGGTGTTACCAGAATTCTTATGGTCAAACTTCCCTTTTTGGGGATGATCACTTGATCAACCAATTAAGCACTCATATATAATTACCGAAAATGTATTAATTTTCATTTCCCTCTTGAAAGGCATTTCAATTTTGCCTTTTTCTGCTTTCAAACTTAAGGAGAATAAGTGGACTATCGGTACTTATCACTGGATTTTGTTTTGTTATTAGGCTGAAGAGTGTGATCTGTCACTTTCGAGGGAACAGAGAATTTCCTCGGCTAAGAATCGGTGAGCTTGAATTTCCAGATTTCATGAGTTTGAATGGGAAACCTCCTGGTCAAATGGATCCAAAAGCATTATTGCTGCAAAAATTTCATGCAACAGCTCAAGGACGAGTGAGTATATGGTGGTTTTGTATTTGTCTCAGATAACATTTCTTACGTTCAAGACATCCATATTCTTAGTTTGTTTCTCCTACTGCATAATAAGAATTACCACATAGCGAAGAATTTATAAAAACTATATTTTGAAAGATTCTACCACCGTTTGTTTGCTTGTTATTTACTTATTCAATTATGTCTAAACGTCGTTTGGTTCATGTTATCATTCCTTGTATCGCAATGTAAGGCTAGTAATTACTTTCTGAGATAACGATGATGTGCCTCTTTGATCTAGATTGATGCTGCTTTACAAGAGGGAGTTGATATAATGAGGTCGTGCTTTCTAAAGGCTTTGCCGAAGGTGCGAGATGCTTACTCAGATCAGAAATACAAGCACCTAAGATTAGAAACCTTGCCAACATGAATTTGTAAATGAGTAAATGGTTTTCTTTCGGGATAACTCTTGGGTCATGATTGTCGGATATATGGAAACTCGACAGGCGTTGGATCTAAAAACAAGAGGACGTACATGTGTTGCACTGTTGATAATCTGCGTCATCGATTAACAATATAAGGTTCTGACAACTCACCCCCCTACGTAAACCATCATGTAAAGTCCAATTTGCAACAAATAATTACATAAATTCCAATTCAATGGTTTTCCCAAACCAATTAGTAATATAAAGAATTTGATATAGGAAACGAAGATGTTGTAAGATTTAATCCAACAAACATCAAAGCTCCCAGAAAAAGGTAAACAAGCAAGGTCTTAGACAAAAAAAAAAAAAAAAAAAAATGCAACTCTTACCATATTTGAGTACATTTTCACATTCGCATTGCATTCCTTGTACGGGAAGCATGTTGCGAGATGATTGTTCACAATCCAAAAAAAAAGTCCAATCAATGTTTTTGCATACCTGATAGGATTTAGTAATGAAAAGGAAATAAAACATGTAAGTACAAAATTGGTAAGATTTTAGCGGTTTTAAACAGGAAAGACTTGAACTCTTTTAACCTTTTGATCAATGA